TCTGTTCTGTAAACATAATTGTCCCGGCTACTAGGCTATCGAATGTGAGGATCCTGCAGGTGGCCGATCATTTATAGCCTTTTCTCACAGCAGTTGGAATAATTAAATGTATCATTTCGATGGCAGATTGTAATCCAGAAAGGATTATGTGTTTATGAAACATGTGTCACGGTCACAGTGTGTGGAGGCAGGCAGGACTATGAGGACGACAAGGATTCCAACAGATAGCCTGGGATTAGACAAGATTTGTACTTTAAAGACAACCAGTTGGAAGGGAGCATAATTTGCTTTTTGGGTTAAAAGAATTTCTTAATATGAAATTCGAGTGGTATGACAGAGATTAGACTGTAGTACAGAAATTGAAATCTACTCGCTTATACACACTATACTCATAGTCACGCAATGCTGATGTTGTTAACATTAACAATTTGAGAATAAAGTATAACAATAATAATAATTTGCACGGTTTGATGAGCTAATTTAGATTAAATCGCCATTGGTAGCGCGATTTATTGAAGATCTTTTTTCCTCAGTTGGTCAGAACAAACGTGGCAGACTTGTTACTTACTTGTTCAGATGACAATATCCGGTGAAAATGCTTATTCCAAGACGTAGGCTAGAATCTGTGAGTGCAGAGTACAATATCCACACCGGTGCTGTGACTGACAGCCACACATACTCCTCAAAACATTAGATTCATCAGCGCTGGAGCCGCGCCGCCGCACAACCCACGCAAGGAAGATAATTCCGCACACAGCTGCAATTGCAGGTTTTCAAACGGAGAGGGCGACAGAGGCAAAACTTACGGACTGCAGCTTTAATTTGAGAGGTTCTTGTTTGATTTATTTTGACTTTCTCGTCACTGTGAATGTCAGGCTCCAGGTGAAGCAGAGGCGCTGTGTGCCCACCTGGTCAAAAGTGGCACAGTTAATGCTGTAGCTTCAGAGGATATGGACACTCTGGCGTTTGGAGGGACTGTTCTGCTCCGCCAGCTCAATGCAAAGAGAGACAGGTGAAAAAGTAGTCTGATTGTAGATCTTGCCGGAGAACATTAGCAATGATATTGTATTAGTTGTCACATTAAAGTATAAAACATGCGTTGGTTACTCTTTATTTTAAGGTGTCCTTGTTACAGTGTGTTTATACATTTAAGTACTGAGTAATATTAATTAACTACATCATGCAATGACTACATGGTTAGGGTTAGGATTAGGGTTTGGTTTAGTGTTACTTGCATGTAATTATGCATAATTTACTGTTATTATAATGGTAAGTACATGTAACGTGTAACAAGGCCACCTTAAAATAAAGTGTTACCCATGCTTTTTTTAAATACAGCTACAAATTACAGATATTTGCTATGACTTTATCTTACATGCATACCCAAAATAGTACATGAAATATGGATGAATATATACAAAAATAATATAGATGAATAAGTGAACAAAGATTTAAGCAAATGTAAATATAAAACATAAGGCATGAATGGTGTGCAACATTTATTCCATCTACAGGCTGGCTCACAGGATTTGTCCTCACAAGCTGTTTAATAAATTATGCTTTGTAATTGTAATAATATTATTACGTGTTAATATATTAATAATTAATATTTTATTAGTGATGTTAATAATTATTATTAAGGTTGTTGTTTTTATCATATCACGTTTTGCAAACCAAATTATTTGTTACAAATATTACGTAATACATATATTATTTAATGTTGAGTTATGTAATATTGAATATATACATTTACAGAATTACAGGCATTAATAGTAATTTCTACACATATTTGGAAAGGCATGTTTCCTGGCATGTTAAATTGACATACAGATAAAGGACCTCTTTATTAATGACCTTCTGTTTAATTGTGTATTACAGCAATATTTACAGCAATAACTATCACTTTTATGTCCTTAAATCATTTCTTTCATAGTGAGGTCACAGAGTACTCCTTACCAAAGCTATTGGAAGCTCTACAGCTGACATATAAAGAGGTATTTTCAATGTCTTGCTTTCTTTTTACTAGATTGCTGACACTTGTTCTGTATTTTTGAAACAAATCTCAGTGCCTGAATGTCAATAGCTGCTAATATGCATATCTAAAATGTCTTGATGAAATTGGCATAAATTCTGTAAATTAATTTTGAATTTGAGTACCATTAGAATTAGATGGTTATTGTTAAAATAGCCCAAAAATAAAAAGAATGGGAGTTTTAATAATGTGTCTTGATTTGCTTAATTTTCTTCCTGTGTCTCTTTCATAGTTTGTTGACCTGTGTATCTTGCTGGGCTGTGACTACTGCGATAAAATTGGGGGTCTTGGACCGAGTCGAGCACTGAAGCTTATTAAACAACATCATACAATAGAGGGTGTGATGGAACATGTCAACAGAAAGGTGCTTTTTCAGAAAAAAATATATAAGCCAAAGAAATCAAGCACTGCTGAAGTTGGCAGGAATTGTGTTCGTCTTTTGTATTCTATCGTGATATATATCAAAATATCTGAATTATCCTTTTTGATTTCATCGTGACTTTAGAAGGCTGTAGAAGGCGACATTCTGATAGATTTGACATCATTTGTTCACCCTCAACTGCTTTTAAAACCATATTTTCTTTCTTCTGTGGAACACAAAAATAGATGTTCAGAAGAATGTTCAGGTTGTTCATACATCAAAATAAAAGGCAACTTTGGCTGTCATTTCTTCCAGACACACCCCATCCCTCCAAACTGGCAATACAAGGATGCCCGTAAGCTGTTTTTTGAAACCCCAAAAGTCGACGACCCTGTCCTTGCCTGGAGTGAGCCTGATGAAGAGGGTCTGGTGCAGTTCCTGTGCAAAGAGAGGCCTTTGAAGTACATATCTGTGTTCTAGTATTTACTAGTATCTGACATTATTTGATCAAGAGTGAGATATCAACTGACGTTATTTAATATTTGTAGTTTTTTTGTTGTGCATTTAACCTTTCTTTGGGTATGTGACCTTATTCGCTGTTTTAAGGGAAGAAAGGGTGCGGGGACGCATGAAGAAGTTTCGTGAGTCTCTCTTAAAGAGAAGAAAACAGAGGGAGGTGGATGAGAAAATGGGCCAAACTAGACAGTCACGTCTTGAAGAATTTTTCCCTGCGACACGAAGGAGAAAGGTCAGATATCAGTTAAGAAGTATTGTAAACTGATTGCTTGCTTGAACATTGTAACAAACAATCGTATCTTCCTTATCTAGGCTGTGTCTGCAGCTGTGGAAGCATCCAGTGGGAGAAAGCGATCAAAAATGAAATAAGAAGGACCCTTTTGAATCATGAATCTAAAAGTATTGATCAAACCATCATGTGGACCGAAGAGTCAAACGTATAATGGCATGGATCTGTTTTAGATGCTTTAGATGCAAAAAAAGTTTTTATTTTGTTCAAAGGCAACATAATGTAAAACCAGTGCCAAGAAAATATATATTTTTAATGTTTTTTGTATCATGCAGCCTACAAAACATGTTCGGAAACCTGTATTAAATTACAGTAAACCTCTTTTTAATTCTAAAAGTATACTGTGTTTCATTGTTGCAGTAGTACACTGCAAACAGAGATCTGTTAAAAATGACGTTGTGCAGAATTTTAACACGTGGTGAGTGTGCTCAGGGACAACACGTTGTGTCAAATTTAACACAATTTGTGTGTTAAGATGGATCACACATCTATTGTGTAATGTAATTTAACACATTTAATGTGTCATTTAAACACATTATGTGTAACTGAACATTGTGTGTTAAAATCTACACCACATGTGTCAGAATGCTGTCAACACAACCATGTGTGTTGTTTTTTGACACATCTGTTTTTGCAGTGTAGTGTGGTTTGTGTTGTAACTAATAGTTCAGCCAAACATGAAAATTAGCTGAAAATGTCCTCACCCACAGGCTATCTATGATGTAGATAAGTTTGTTTCCTTGTCGGAACAGAAATTTACAGTAGCATTACATAAGCTGCTCACAATTGGATCCTCTGCAGTGAATGGGTGCCATCAGAATGAGAATCCAAACAGCTGATAAAAAAAAACATCACAATGTTCTACAAGTAATCAACACCAGTCAATCAATCTTTTGAAGTACAAGTAACTAATCCATCACTAGCATTTTAACTTTAAACCGTTGCTTCTGGCCAAAATATAAGTCCATAACCCATAAACAGTAACACTTATTAGGCAGTAGTAACACTTGTAGACAGAGTACAGTTGGAACAATTCTTCACAAAAGCTATTACAAACACAATTTTCATGTGATATTCCTTTTATTTGTCAAATTAAGAAATTATGATCAATAACATATAAATAGTTCATACTTTTTTTAGTTCATAAAGACTTTGTTCCAATTGTACCATCAGTTGAAACATCTTTAATGCTCTAACGTTGCCAAAATAGTTCATTTAACATAACTCATTTCACGTGTTAATTTGATACTATACAAAATATTTCAGCTCTGCATTTTACTTCTGTTCTTCATAATATACAACCTATAATTTGCCATTTACTAGCAGAACATTAAATCACTGAACAATTAGGATTTCAAGTGTTCAAATTAGAATTTTTAAAATGCTGAACAACTTTAAATTTGCAAAAAATATATAAAAAAAACTAAAAACCAGCTCATTGTACAACTGTAAAAACAAACAACATTCACTTTGTCACAAAGTGAGTAACTCACTCACTCATTCACATAGGCCTACTTATTAATCAACTTACTCTTAACTCTGGTGTCAGATGCAGTTTGTGCTTTATGTTTGTATTTATTTGTATTTGATACATCCACAAACTACAACGTACCAACTAAGGAACTGTCTTGTTTTTTAGACATGATACCATGGCTTTTCAGCTCTCTTAAAACTTAATTGTGTTCAAAGTACATTTGAGTACCATGTAAATAACATGGCGATCATTTAAAGGGGTCATATGATGCTGCTAAAAAGAACATTATTTGGAGTATTTGGTGTAATGAAATGTGTTTATGCGGTTTAAAGTTAAAAAAACACATTATTTTCCACATACTGTACATTATTGTTTCTCCTCTATGCCCCGCCTTTTTGAAACGCGTCGATTTTTACAAAACTCATCGGTCTGAAAAAGCGAGGTGTGCTGTGATTGGCCAGCTATCCAGTGCGTTGTGATTGGCCGAATACCTCAAGCGTGTGACGGGAATGTTACGCCCCTCACCATACTGTTGTATTCCCTCAGCGACCAGCACGGATCAGCTCTAGGCATGAGGAAGCAGATATCGTCCTCTTTTGGAAGACCAAACAAAGTAGTTTCGCTTTCACAACGAAGCACACAGCGTCTTCAGGATATGGCGGAGGCAACAATACTACAGCGAGAATAAAAGTTACGCCTTCTTTCTTTGCGTGAACATTTGGGCGGTGTTATGCAAATCTTCCCACAGAGCGACATAGGTATGTGGGGGCGTGTTAGAACGAGCCGTTTTAGGTAGGTGTGGCTGACTCTTAACTTTTATAAAGAATATCTCTTTGGATTTGAGACTTTAGTCTTTGCAACTTTACAGACCTTCTTTATGCACCAAGAGCTTGTAACACTCCAAAGAGAAAGGAAAAATTGAAATCGCATCATATGGCCCCTTTAATACCAAACTATTACCACCAGGCACTCTACCATCGCTGTAACAATTTCCTAAGAGTCTCAAGTTTCTGAAAGAGCTTTCGGGAACATGTGCCAGCAGAGACGTTTCTCTCCGGTGCAGTAGGTGGCAGTATTGACATGTACAGCCTCTAGCGCTCCGCATCAGTCCAGTGAAGAACCAGACGTTTATGGCTATTCCTGGCTGTCCTATGTGGAACGATTTTCCAGCGCTGCCGGGCGTGTTTATGCAGTAGATTTACCAATAGCTCACAGCTCCACCTGCCCTAGACTCGACAGCTTTATTATTTCGTGATGGCGGCGAGTGCCAAACGAAAACAGGAGGAGAAACACTTGAAGATGCTTCGGGAGATGACCAGCCTGCCTCCCAATAGGAAATGTTTTGATTGCGATCAGCGCGGCCCGACCTACGCCAACATGACAGTGGGCTCGTTTGTGTGCACCACCTGTTCCGGAATACTGTAAGTTTTTAAACGAGGCCCTTCATATTCACACAGATGGTGAACTTGTTGTTTTCCCCCAAAAGTCTGTACGGGCAGGCGCCTAACAACCCCTCCCATCTGAGAGATCATCTGCAGAAAGTGTCCCAGCTGCCTTTCTAACATCATCATAACATCAGCTTTCACAAAAATAGCACGAGATTCAGGGCCAGAGCAGCCGAACTTTTCAAATAGGACAGGCTCCTATTCAAATAAGACAGTGTGACGTTGGTGCTGGTTGTGAGTGTGTGTTCAGAAAGTATTGTATCAACGTGTGACACACCCATGTTTAAACACTACATGCATAGATTATGTTGATAACTGGATGCACTGAAGAAAATGTGAGTGGTTTTGAACTTACAGACAGTGCCACATGTGAAAATGTCTGTATGATATTGTGGTGCTGAGTTTTGGGGCCCCTGTCAGTGCACATGGGCTCTTAGCTCACTAGCCAGTCAGAAGAGCCATTCTGGTACTGAGATACAACAGGGGACAACTATTATTTTCTCAGGGGCTCCAGAGGGCTTTGGGGCTTTACTGATTGATTCCGTGTTTTGAACGAATCGGTTGATTCAGAGTTTCATTAGCCCTTGTATAAACATCTGATGAATCCAAAAGGGTCTGGCTGCAGCTGGCGCTTGCACTCTCAGACGCGCATTCTCAGGCTTGCACTCTCAGACACTTGCACTTCCGCTAGCGACGTCACTTGCAGTCTTTATTATTTTTTATTTTGTTCTATTTATTGATTACTTTTTGTTTGAATCTCTCAACATTTTACAACAGTAGCCAGGTGGTGAAGACAAGACAAAAGAAACTAAATTACGAAGTCAATTGCAATCGCCACTTGCACTCTCCGATACCTGTGACGTCACTTGCAATCGACACAAATCGTGCGTGTTGCCAATGGAGACAAGACGCTGTGGTGGTGATTTAATGATTATTTATTTGATTTATTTATTTAGTCATTTATTAGAGGCTTTTATCCAACGCGACTTACAAATGAGGACAACAGAAGCAATCAATTGTAGTATTAAAACAACTAAAAACAGATCCAAAACTAAAAGCTAAAACTTTATAAATACTACTTATACACATTTTAAAAATAAAGAAATTAAATAAATGTTCAAAATTTCAAAACTTAACATTTAAAAGAAAAACCAAAAATAAAGCTAAAACAATTCAAAATATTAATGAACAAAAGGTATAAGTGTATAATAATGATTCTAACATAACACTAAGCCAAACACCAAAAAAAAACTACATATGTGTATGTACAACCATACACACATATACACATATATACTGTGTATATATATACACATTTATAAATTCAATATATTTCATTTCCATTTTCAATTATTTTGTTGAAGTATTAAAATAACTCAAATTAAATAAAACTAAAAACTTAATAAAAGATA